TGACTGTGTAAACAGATTTAGGTCCCCACAAGTATAGTAATGCTAGGCCACACACACACACAGGCCTCACTCACAATATACATTTCTGGCTCATAAAAGGGCAAGCCAAAAAAACGGTCTCCTCTGGAAAATAAAATAAATCCATTTGTCTTTATTTGGTTTGGTGTGACTGAATGGAGCCTTTGGGTCTTTGGAAATCTATTTATTTGTGTGTATGGAGGGGGGGGATATGAACACTTTGGTGTATGTGTGATAGATGCGTGACATGCTGACCCCCCCCCAACCCCCATAGCAGCCCTCCTGTGTGCCTCACATCCATCAGAATATAATAACTCATCAGTACCATGGCACACTCGCTCGGACATGTTTACGTGGACTCTGGAGTGGAACGAGCATGTGAGCGTGCACGCACACAAACACACGTGTGTTTACTGCATATTTAACACTCGTTGGGTCCTCGTTTGTCATTTCAAGTTTGTGATGCACATGGACACTAACTCAAAACTAACCCAAACTTTAAAGCTGCTCTGAAGGGGACTGTTTTTCGTCTTGGACCTGCCTCTTAACTTCCTCTTCCCTCGCTCCCCTCCATTAAAGGGGATAGAGACCATGCACCACAATATCTATTTAAATACCTTTTCAATGCTCCCACTCAAAATGTGTACTCGAGGGTAAAAGCTGCCATCAACTGTACAATGATCAGACATTCCTCACACTTTTGCACAATTACCATCACATATTTTATTTGTTTCACTTTCTATGTGTAGTCTTAAGACTGATGACCTGCTTAGAAAACATTTTAATCCATGTTGTTTTTATTTTAACCAAAGACTAATACGTGTAGTATTTACTTTGATTCAGTTTGATTGATTTTCAAATGTTAGTGTACAGCTGTTACTTTTACTTGAGCTAAGCAGTCAGTTGGGCTTTTGACTGCTCTGGTCACTTTACATGCACACATAATAGGTGTGCACATTCCTGCTAAAAAACCTCACTGTGCCTGATTTATGTTTGTGTGTGCATGTGTTCTTTAAAAGGGCACAGAGGGACGGACATTAAGGCCCACATGGGATAATGATGAATCGAGTCAAGCTTTTCAAACGATTACCTAAAGGATGTTGTTTAAAACAGCATTTCAGGAGGTATATTGGTAGATTAGAATACTACTGTGGCCTTTAGCGCTTTATCGTATTTATTTAATGGTCCTTTGTGGCTAACCCCACCCTCCAGCTACTTAAACATGCCATAAAAGTATTTGGTAACACTGTTTGCAAGTTGTTGTACAGTAAAATGGGCCACTCCTTTTTCCACATTCCCTCTGTCCTTTCCTGTCCTTCATTTGTCCGTTTTCAATAGTCCTCCCTCTCTTACCTGCACCAGTTGTGCTGAATGTGATGCATGTGAAGTGATACCTGCACACATCCACACTGAATGGGCTGACTCGGCATGTGAGTGAATGATTTGGCTCGGTGGCTTCCTGCCCGCCTAACTGCTGCCTGCAGTGAGCGAGAGAGAGAGTTAGTGTGTGAGTGTGTGTGCGCGCGTATGTCTGCATCTCTGGGGGCTCCTGTGATGACGCACATGGTGACGGGGGGAATGCTGGGGGCGGAGAGGGGGGGTGGGTGAGGGAGGGGAGGCGCAGTGGACTCGCTAAGCTCTTTGTTTCTGCTGCACCTCGAATTGCCACGCCAGTGCTCACACACTCCCCTCTTTCACCGGGGGATCACACTGCTGCGTGTACAGTACATCATGTGCTTGTGTGTGTGTTTTGTCTTCAAAGACATCACCTTCCTACGGCTTAAAGAGGTGGTGACATCAGACTGTTCTGGAATATCTTTTTACATTACTTGTTAGACGCTTTTATCCAAAGTGACTTACATACTCAGTACTGTGGGCAATCCCCACAGGAGCAATTTGGGGTGAAGTGTCTTGCCCAGGGACACAACGACATGCTGACTGCAGTGGGGTTTGAACCTGTGCTCCCCTCATCCGAACACCAACGCACTAGTCCACAGCACCACAGCCTCCACACAGAATACAGCTAGTTTAAAATTGTATCATTTTAAATTCACAAAAACACACTGGCATGCATGTAAATAAACATTGACATACGCCCCATCTCGTATATCTTGTTGCACACAAGTGAACAAAATATATAAATATACAGTTTAGAAGTTACTTGATAACTAAGAGAATGGGAGGACAGCATGCGTTGTGTGTGTGTGTGTGTGTGTGTGTCTGTGTACCATTGTGTGTGTGCATGTTAGTCCTAGTGCCTTGGTCAAGGCCATGTTACTTATGGAAATGTACTCAGTGTTCAGAGGAAGGTGTTAACATGTGCGCTGGACTCAATGAGGCTCTTTGTCCATCCCTCCCAACCTGCTCCATTCAACCTTACTCCCATCCTAACCCCCCTTTTCTCTCCCTCTTTCTTGTTAGAGCTCAAACCATGACAAAATGTCCTTTCTGTGCATGTGTGTGTTACAGATTACCTGACGTGTGGGTGAATGAAACGGAGCGGTCGCAGCTGAAGACTAAAGTGGTGCACTTATCCCAGTTACCGCAGGATGCTGCCATGCTGCTAGACCAAAACATCTATAGGTGTGTGTGTGTGTGTGTGTGTGTGTCCTTTTATACACATACACACTGCTGTATAGTGTGTGTCTTTGTTCCACCAGATGGCACCAACTCCTGATTTCAAAAATGAGGACAGATGCATAAAAAAAACTTGGTTTGTGTGAAGGGAAATATTTCAAACTGTAAAACTGATCTAGGTTCATTTCTCAATGTAATGCTTATTTTACTGGTGTAAAAAAGCTCTAAATGCTATATTATGAAAACAAATGATTTTATTTGGGGAGGTGATGATATCATCCAATTAAAAGATTTTAAAGGAGGAAAAATCACTTCTTGCTTGCATGCAACTGTAACTTCATAGTTTATATTTATCTATTTTATTGCATCACGTTCCACTAAACATTAACTGTGATGTTATTTGAATCTTGTGCAGACTCGGTTCATTCATCACTGAGATGAACAAAACAAGTTAGCTTTATGACACGCCATAAAAAGCTGAAAATGAATCCTGAAAGAGGAACAATGTGCCTAAAATAACAGAGTGCTCATCTTACCGGAGATATATGGCTCATGAGTGCACTGACCAGCACACAGGCTGGCTGATTTTAATTAGACCTGAAGGCTCAGTAACTGCAGGGGCTGCTGCTGGCCTCTGGTTTCACAGTTGAATATAACCGTCAGCACTCAGCCAGTTTATGTCAAGGTTGTCCTAATGCATGAAATCCCTAAACAAATGAGGTGGTTGGTGCCTGTGGCAGCAAGCGTAGTAGGGGATTTGAACCCCTCTGCTCGTGAATGGGATGGCAGGAAGACACTGACGTAGTGGCAGTTCAGGATTATATTATTTCAACAATGTTTCCATGTAGAGGCTACTGCACTTTATCACAAGTCCTACTGGACTGAAATCAGCTCAAACACATGATCACATCGTACAAAGTGAGATCTTTTAGCTGCAAAGTGGCCTCACATACTTTCTTCTGTCTTTTCAGAGGACTTCCTCAAAAGCGACTGAAACGCAGGTAAGCTTCAACAGTTGAACATGTGATAACAAATATATTAAATATACCTAGGGACTTATTTAGATATGATATACAGGGTTCATACAGTCATTAAAAACCTGCTATAGTCATGGAAATGCAAATTCTAGGCCCTGGAAAAGTTATGAACAACAATATTTTTCCCAAAGTTTTTGAAGAGTCATGGAAATGTAACTAAAGTTGCATCAAATATAATTTATATTTTATCTAATCGCTGAAATAGTAATACTATAATGATAATACATACTGTAAGTTAACATGTTTCATATGCTGACCTTATTTTCCTGTTCCATGTTCTAATAAACCATTTTCAGTGGTACCGCTGAGAAAGTAATTTTTTTGGTCATGGAACATTAGGTACAGGTCATGGAGAAGTCTTTGAAAATCATTGGTGAAAAAGTGTATGAACCCTGCATATATCTACACACAAAATACACAATGGAGCGTGTGACTCAAACACACCATTATTACATCTTGGTAATCAATAACATTAAGTGCACAAAGTTTCTTCATGTTGTTATTGAAGGAAACACAATAACATCAAATACTAAGTTTAAAGTGGATATGCGACAGAAGTAACCGAACCAAACATAATGCTTTGTGTAGAAATACTTTATTGTATTGCTGAGTATAAAAAGTGTAATGCAAATATTGTAATTGTTTTGTATTGCAGTTCCAAACTGAAAAACGTATAATGCGCGTATTAGAGTAAATCAAGCGATTTTGCCTTTGGTATATTCCGTTATGAGTTACATATTCTTTTAGTTCAATGTGTTTTAAATAACGGCAGTATTTGCAAAGTTTGTGGCTTTGCAAATACTGCGTTTATTCTCAGATCCAGAACGGATAGGCTGATGAATAAAAAATAAAGTCGTGCGGCACATTACTGTCACATCAATGTCACATCATCAGTGCCTTTCATCTCCACCTGCACACAGCTTTCTCAGTTCACAGTAACGTTGTTCTGTGTGTGCAGACAACACAGAGCCGCTGCCTTATTCCTGCTCTGTATCTCAACTGCTATTTGTCTATACGGTAGTATTAAAAACACTTCAAATGTCCATAATCTTTGTGCCATAAAGGAGCTCAAACAAGGCTTTTGCCTCGATGGCATGTTCTTCACAGTTTCCCTCCTGTGGTGAAACGTCATCGTAGTTGATTACTTATCGCCCTCAGTTTCACAGTTCCTGTGAACCGTGAAGCCAGTTAATTGGGAGCCACGACCCTTGGCATTCCTTCGTCTCACTCCAATATCAGGTCATATTTGGCCGTTGTTCATTGTTCCAATCATTGACCTGAGTAGTTCTGTCCATCAAAAGCTCCGTACACACTGTAATGGGTCTGTGAAGGAAGTCTGTCTGAACATCCAGGATAAAGCTTGTTTTTCATGCTGTAATCTCTCATGACACACTGAGAACAACTCCTTCTCTCCTCTCTGTGTCCTTCTCTCCCTCTCTGTGTCCTTCTCTCCTCTCTGTCCTTCTCTCCTCTCTGTGCTCAGCCTTTAGAGAGTCATCTGTGGACTCCATGCTTAAGGGGAAACGCTTGTTCATAGGAGGTTTGTCTATATGGGATGGGACGCTCTTCATCTGTGTCTACTCAACGGGGGGATTGAAGTGGCGATAAAAGGAAATGAAACTTGGCCGTGCTGCATTTTTCTCTCTCTTCACTTTAGTATATCTGAAGTGTTGTTCAAGCGTGGTGGAAAACGGGACTTTTACAGTTTTGTTTTTTACTCTTTTTCATAAAAAACGTAAAAGAATGTCTTTTTTTTTTTAACAATAACACCAAACTGAAAATGTTCTTAATACCCAAAACTGTACAAACTGTTGTGTGTAACTTTGTCTGAAAAGACAGCATATTTTAGAACTGTTTTTGTGTAAAATATTTATGCAGATTTATAACTTATTTTTATATCATGAATATGCTGGTGTTCTGTGGATTTTTGTGAAGGTTTTGCTGAAACCATATTTACTGTGATAATATATGCTAACTGTCACTTGTAGCTGTATTATAGCACTTTCTACTTTAGATAACATTGTATATGACAGAAGTCTTAACTGATTATCCTATTTATTCTTACTGAATGCAGTACTTTTACCTGTGTGTATGACAGCAAAGAGTGATGTTGTGTTAGTCATGTCAGACATGACTCTTAATCTCACCCAGTCTGCAGAGAGAGCATAGAAATGACTCGGCACTCAAAGGGTAAATCTACGGAGCCCCCTAAGGGACATGGAGAAGAAAACAAAATTATTGGAATTTTTTTTTTTTGACATCTCGCAAAACCCCGTTGCAGTTTGTAGACGGTCCCTAAGCAATCCTCCAGCTGCAGATTGTGACCAATTCTTGAAGTTTAGCTCGGATGACGGCGCGAGCTGTTCTGATAAAAACGACTCTGTAGCTCGTTATCTACCTTGCTATGATTGTAAAGTCATGTTGTTTGTATTTTTACAACGTTATGTTCAGTTATTGATCCGCGAATTTCGAATCTGTCAATAAAATCTCCATGTCCCCTAAGGGGCTCCGTATAAATCACCTCTGCTTCCCAAGATAACATGTACATAATTCATATCATATTTAAGCACTTAAAGGTTATTGTTAAAATAAATGTGTTTTCTTTAATATATGTTGTCCCTGTTTGGAATGGATATTCTCTGTTTGTAATAAAATGAGGGCAAATGATCTTGAAGCACATTGTTTCTACACATGAGGGTGCAAGGTGTTTGAATGGCAGGAAGGGGTAATGCATCCATTGTGTTATGAATAAGTTCCGTATGTGTGCATTGAGCGGAGTTATTTGGCGTCCATTAGCGGAGCAGCTTTGGGAGCATGCTGTGGAGGAGCTAATGACAGGCCGGCGGGGCAGGACCCTTGCTGGCCTCAGCTGTTACTGAACATGCCTGCAGACAAAAGTGAGTTCAGAGAGAGGTCCTCTACAACATGGCTGTCCTGTTCTTTAATATCTCATGCACTCACACAGGCCAAATTCATGGGGGAGCTGGGACTCCAGCTTGTGATAAAATGAGGCCTTCAAGTTCTATTCCATTATTTTGTGACGGCAAGCACTAAAAACTGTTGGCACCCTGTTGTTTTGTGTGCTTTGTTTTATGTCCTTCTCATATCTGCACTGGTCCGAGGCGGCTCGCACAACTGTTTGGGGTAAATTGAAAAGAGATGAGTCCAAGATGTGCAGCCACACACATTTTGGGCTCATTACAATAACGCCTGACTTGCATTTCAGTAAATTGCCAATATGTTCAAATGTAAACGAGTGCATCTGGTCCAACTTTCATATGTTAAAACATTAATACTCAAACCGTAGGCAAAATAATGTTTCAGACATAGGTTTATTAGTTTCACGTTGCAAACACATTACAATTGACAAACTGTATAGGTTTTAGCAAGTCCTGTTTATTCTATTCTAAAATCCTTAAACTGCGATCAACAATCACTTATTATCTTATTATCACAGATTTAAAGCTGTGGCTGAGCAGGAAGCTCTCATGATAAGTGCGCACCGTGAGATTAGAGTGTGCACATTTTGTACAATATATCAGTTGCTTGTGACTTCTATTGTAAGACAGTTGAATAGACCTTCAGTTTCTTGTATCGGTGAGTAAATAACCCTGCAGACCCTGTGGCTCTGACACAGTTTGAGTCAAGGTTACAAACAGGAAGTGGGCCAAATCACGAGTGCTTTTTTCCCAAAGTGATCAATATTAGTCGGAAGGAAGATCCGTTTCATTTTATTTTTGTATACACTGTGATTTACTCTGTTATGCTCTTTCTTGAGATGTTCCTTTACTTCAGTGAATTGCCCTTCCCCTTTCATTACCAATTTTTTTTTAATTGTCATTTAACTTTTAGTGTGTTTCCTGGCTTTAAGTCTAGCAAAGTGTTTGAGTTTTTGCTTTTCTTACTTCGACATTAATCTTATTAGTTATTTTTTTTACTATAACCAACAGATCCACGAGTACCCAATCAAACCAACCGACATTGATTTTATTTTGTAATGTTAGTTTTGTTTGTACTTACCGTAACTTTGACCCGGAAACCTTGACTTTACTAAACATCATGTAAATCACGTTATTAATCGTATAACATCCAACTTTAGAAGACTTATAATATCTGCCCCTGCATTGAGCCTCCATGTTTCTGTATTGTCTTCATTTCTCTTTGGAACATCATATTTCAAGGCTTTTCTTCACATTTTTTAATGAAACACTGGCACTTTGTGGAGGTTTGTTTGAACCCTGACTCCAGCAGTGACATCATTTGGCACAGGAATAATGATTGATAGAAAGTGTGGCGGGCTGGCAGAGCTCTGCCTGCAGAACCTGATCCAGCCTCAGCCTGTCTGTGGACGAGACGCTGGGATGTTACCCTGAAGTTCACTCATCTCTGAGGTGAATTTCCCTCCTTCAGATCCTCTTCCAAGTGTGATGCAAATCCCTTTTTGTCTCTCCACGTTAGGAAAACCCAGATGAAAAACTGTTTCTTGTTTTGGGCTCATCACAGCATGTTTGCATGAGAGTTAAATGACATTCTTCAACATTGCTCGGCTTCAGTAATTGAAGCACATTGTGTACTGTGACATGTGAAAGTCATTAAGCCGGTCCATTTGTCATGTGTGACAGTGTGTGTGCAAGTGTTCTCTGTTGGTTTGGTGCTACGACTGCTCAAACCTGGAACTCTTCCATCTGCTGCAGATCTTCTTACTCTTGTTTCTGAATCACCCGTCTGAGTTTCTCATTGTGCTCAAAATCTTCCTTTTTGCTTTGGCTGCATGCACCGCTGTCTCTGTGAAGAAGGAAGGTATTACATCAAGAACAAAAGCGATGAGCTGCTGCGCTAAATCCTGAATTGGAATTGTTTTTCCTCGCTACTTTGGATATTTCAAAGAAGAAAATCCTAGAAACTTGTTTTTTGATCAACGTGAAGACTTCAGTTTGGTAGGGCTTTATGATTGATATTGTAAAGGCTATTAATGAATAAGAATAGATGCCTTTCTCCTTTGACTTATGACGGAAATGTTGCTTCCACAATGTTAAAAACAATGGCCCTATCTGCAGTAAGATTGCTTCCCTTGCTTTCACTATGCAATTCTGTGTGCCTTTTAAGGATAATTGCCCCATTTTGGCAACACTTAAGTTGCGCATATACTTATAAAGGTAATAAAATGATAACACGAGGGCTCTGTAGTCCAAACTAGGAAATCAAACTCTTTATTGCTCCCAAATTGTCAACAGCAGCACATTACAGAGCACTCCTTCCCTTCTTAACTTTCACTATAAAAGCCAAGACTTATACACCGCCTCACTGCTAGCCAGAGAGCATTTCTCCAAGAGGCAGTTCAACCAAATGTCTTACGGTCGATCTGTCCAGGTAGCGGAAGTTGGAACAACCAAAGTTTTGTGAAAACTGAGTAGGTAACGAACGTGAACATTGAGATTTATAAAAAAACGATATCTTTTTACTAAGCTTGCTCAATAATTACACAAGCCTGGATGTTTAACTCTGCTTTTATCACAGCACTGAGACTTGGGCGCCTATTTCAAATTGTCATCCTTATGGTCGGTTCTTTCTTTGGACAGTAGATAGGCTGCTATGGCCATTTTGTAATATGTAATCACGGTCTTTGTTTGTTTGGAAACAAATGCAGTTTGTCCTACCTGAGGTTGTTGGTAGGAACAAGACGAAACAAGGAAAGGAATCCAATTTTCGACACCAAAAAATAGATCATCAGACTCAGGAGAAATGTTTTCGGATTTCTTACTTACTGGCTGCATACTAACATACAGTACAGTAGCCTAATAATCAACAGCATCTGGCTTTGGAAACAGTAATTAAAAAAAATGGTAGAACCAGATAAATCTAGTACATAAACAAGACAGTTTCACATGCATCACTGGCAGGACGACCCATAAAAGGAATTAATGCAGGGACCCGGAGCATGGTGCGTGTCTAGAAGAGAGAAGACATGGGCATATCAGCTGCAAGAGTATTCGTAAACTCCCTAACTCTTCCTTTGTGGATGTCGTTTTAATTGGGTTTCTGTCATGTTTCTGACTCTTCTGCTACGGCAAAAAGCCCTAATGGTATTTTTATTGAGAGGCCTCTGTATCTCAGTGTTTTCCTTCTAGTCCATTTGAGATGCTGCTACTCTGTGTTGTGACATAACTTTCCTTCCATAGATTTGTCTCCTTGTATTATTCACTCTGTTATTCATTTGTTTTAAGCATTGTACACAAATATATTTTGACAGCGTTTGACTCTTCCATTAGCACAGACTGCATGGAGAAGCGGTCAATAATCTATCCTTAAGAGGCCCTGACTGCTGACCTCTCCTGTCAACACACGGACCTGATCCTGTCTAAACATCTTCCAGCTGGGGAAGCTAAGCTGTCCCTCGTGGTGGTCTCTGGGTTACAGTGCGGGGTATCCTTTCCTTTCAGTTTTCAGTCTTAGATTTTGTGGATCTCAGGATTTTTTTCTGTCATCAGCATGGAGCAATTTGACCAAATGAAGGTGGGAGGAACTGTTGCTGCGTGTCAGGCCACAAGTCATTTTAAAAGTCTGATGCTGACTTGTTATAATATGACTGTTTGTGCCATGGCTTAAGGTCATCAGCGTGGTACTTATTTTAAGCTGAAGTAATGCCCTGGAAGTGTGTTTGTACAGGGTGCTGTATGAGCAAAATATATTTTCAGCATACTTATCGAACAGATAGAAGTATGTCTAAATATTTACAGATTTTTGACAAAGTACATTGGATTATAATGAAAGACTCCATCTTTTTTTCTTTTTCAGCTTCATAGGTGTAGGTAGGTGTTTTTGAACTTGTGAGTAGGAAGGCTAACTGTTACCTTCTGCGTTAAGTCTTTGATAAGTTAGGCTAATCGCTTCCTGTTTTAAGATGTATACTTTACACTGGGACAGAGTTTCCTATACAACTTGCGAAAAGCAAATGATTAAGCATGTTATACAAAATATAAATGAAACCTGATAGTCAGTATCCTTATACAGACTGTCCACTCCCATAGAAGCGCACCTCAGTGCAATCAGTCCAATAGCCACAGTCATCACGCAAATATTACATCACCACCTTTTGAAGACAGTGTTTAGGGGTTATGCAAGGGGTTGTTACGGTTGAAATCCAAGCAATGGGAAGGCCTGCATTCATGAGGTAATGTCAAGCACTTTCTTTGTGCTCGCCCCTGACTCATTCACATGAATGCCCAAAGGGCCTGGATTTTGGCCAAAGGGCATTCGACAGTGTGGCAAAACAAATCCAGTGTCACGCTCCCTCTCCACTCTCCCATCAGGCTGAACAATAGTACCAGCTTTTATTAATACACGATAGTATTTCATCAGATTCTCAGTGTCATCAGGACTGGAGGAAAAACCGCAACACTTGGGAGTGAAAGAAACGGTATCTGTGATTGCAGCATTATGTGTTTCCTATTTCAGATGGAAATACTGTGCTGTGTTTTGATTTGTTGTCTTCATATATCAGAGATTTATGTTTGTGTTCTGGTGGGATTAGATTCTGCAGAGAGATACAACCTCCAACTGCAGATTCTCATAAGACAAATAATCACCAATATAAACATAAACCAATTATGCTCCGCTTCCAGACTAGCATTACTTTATGTTCCTGACCTCTGCTTATGATTTATGTC